AGCAATCCTTATGTAGGTATTAGTATTTGACTACTTGCCTATCATAATTCACGTAAGAATAAATTATACACTTTTAATAAGTTCAAATCATACGCTTTAACACTATTTAATTAAATTAAAGGTGTCTGTCTGCCTTCCGTCTCATAAGTCATACCATGACCGCGCTAGGACCGTGTCAGGCAAAGAAATATTTTTTGTACCTAATTAAAATTATGAGATTCTGCCCACTTGACCATTCCGTCACCGACGGGCACCATTGCGTGCCGTGCACGGAGCATTAACAATTGTAGGCGAGAATATTTTGCCGGTGCCGGTACGCTCCGTTCCTGGCACGCGACATTGCCAAACCGGTGAACATACGGGTTATAACCGCGTTTCTGTGAATAAGTAGTAGAAGAAAACTTGAATAAACATAGAGTAAAATAGCTGTGGTATACGGACATGGCGATGGGTTCCATTTTAGCAATTTAGCTATGGAACCTCCTTCTTTCGGACTTTTCCTTCATCAATATCGATTACAGAGAAGCATTTTCCTAAGCCGCGCTCCTCACCAAACAAAAAAAGAAAAAAATCACCAGATGTAAAAAGCCTCCCTTTACAATGAAGGAGGTGGTACGGTGTTTTTCTGAAATCCACGCGAACGAAGTCAGGGCACACCTATAATATAGGTAGGTAGGTACATCTTGGCTTAATATAATTTAGTAAAGATCTATTCCCGCCAAATTTGCTGTCAGATCCCGATCTACCATGACAGTACAAATGTCATCTGTTTTTGACATCTCTGCGGGACGGCGCCCTGCAGCGGCCATTATCCAATTTGTATCCACTGGGCTGAGATTAAAATAATTGCCGGCGACGTGTCTATTTAATGTTCCTTCCAAATAGAATTGGTTTAACAATAAATGTAATAAAAAAAAATAAAAACTTTTTAACAAAAAAATAAAACCGACTTCAAACAAAAGCACTAAAAAGTAAAAAATAACTGATTGGTAGTATTCATTTACTATACATACCTAATCAAATATTTTCGAAGTCGGTGTGCTTTGCTTTGTATCGGCTGGCACCGACTTCGGAATTATTATGTACCTAATATATTTCGATACGTAAAATACATATTTACTTATTAGATATTCATATCATAAAATATTGTAGGCTGGCACCGACTTAGAAAATATCTGATTAGGTATCTATTCTAAATGAAAACCTCCGTTTAGTTATTTTTTACATTTTAGTGCCTGGAAGTCGGTTTTTATTTTTTGTTAAAAAGTTTTTATTTTATTTTAATAATAGGTACGTATATTATTTAAATACAGTTTTTTAGTTTTTTCCAATTAGACGTTTGAAGTTATATATAGCAATTTTTTATCCTAAATCAAAATTTAAACAGGTGAGTTGTAAGTATATCTTGTTGTGATCACCTCTTAAAAACCTTTATTTTTTGTTTCAAGTTAAACCTTCCAACTGAAAACATTCATTCACATTTTTTTTTCTTTTAAAAAAGGGTCCCAAGCTTTGTGGAATAGCCATGGCCCCTGCATGGCTTAAACAGGGACTGGTTTCATTATATATAGTAATTTCCTCGTATAAATAAAAAATAAAATAAATTACCATAGATTCCAAAATATTACGTTTGTCTCTATGACCCGCAGTATAAAATTTTGAAATGTGGCTTTTTGACTAAGTGCAAAGCTAAAGGGTACCTACATATATGAAAATACTATGACGTGAAGTTATAATAAACAAAAAAACAAACCGTTGACCGGCCTAGATGCCCGATAGCAATAAAATAAAAACTTATTGGAGAATGCTTGTAGGCAAACTTTCAGTTATTTTATTCTAGTACCTATTGCAAATATTAGAATTTTTAAAATTTCATAATTTTTTTACTGGAATTATAATATTTCATTTTTGGCTTATTTAATAGTTTGTAAATTAACAATAGCATTTGGCAATCTATCTAGGCATGAAGCCAAGTATTGCCAAGTACCTACGTTTCTTGGTTGGCGATTTACCATGCAGGTTGCTCCTGATACTTCTGTGATAGCAGAGTGGACCGAGAGAGCAACCTTTTGGTTTTTGTGATTGTATCGTTGATCTGTCTCGACAGGCAAGCAGTCGGGGCGTCATGGTTAAGTGCGTGATTCAGCGGGCTGCGACTCCCTATTAAAACCAAGATGGTTTCGTTAGGATTTAAAAGGTAGTATCTACTTACTGGTTTGTCTAGACGGTGAGTCTCGCATAACTGTATGCATGCAGTATAAATACATTTCCCAACGTATAGTCTAGAGTCGTAGACTTCATCTACTAGGTATATGTACCTAAATAGATAAAATATACCTAACAGTAAAAATGAATAATAAATAGAACGTAGGTAAATTTATACAGTAAAAGCAAATGAACCAATACGAATTAGTGATGTACCTGCTTACCTACTCGATAATCAGTCACGTTAGATACACATAAATAGGTTAATTAATGCACATGATACGTGGATTGATTAACGTTAATTGAAAGCTGACAAGCTAATACCTAAGTGCTGGTAAATGTATAGAAATAAAGACAAAATGGTTAGCTACATAATAAAATGGAGTAAATGAAATTAATAAATCTGATTGAGTTAATTATTGTACCTATGGGGTATATTACAAATTTCTTCCTTTTTTAATAATAATCTTACTAATATGTATATTGAGTAAGTCTGTATTGCACTAAACAAGTGGTAAAAAGTGTAAATGTATTATAAATGTGAAAGTTTAAATGTGTGGACGTTTGCCTCATCAATCACACTAGAACGGCTGAACGGATCTGAATGAAATTTGGCACAGGATAGATTATAGTCTGGAATAGCATATACGCTACTTTTTATCCCGCGAAAATTGTACGGATCCCGTGAAAAAATTTGTTCTTGTTATTCGAAGAGGTGAACCTGAGCGAAGCGAAGGTGAGCCGCTAGTTTCATAATAATAATATAGAATATTTTATAACCTACTTTAGCCGTCGCTATTAGGAACTAGCAAGAAGAAATACCTAATTGTATTTTTAAATTTTTAATCAATATCAGTATTTATCGATGTTATATTCACATTTTAGTACCTACTAAACTGCACGACGACAAAATTTTGTCGGGCAGTAAATTATTTTATAAAAACATTTTCCAAACGTCTCAGTCTAAAACGCTTACATTTCAGAACCATACCATAAAGAACCTAATCCACAGACAATAACCGAAACTTAGCGGAATGCAAAACAAAAGGAAATTCGAATAAAGAAATCAATCGCAATCGAATCAAGAATTCGCAGACTATAAGAGCGAAAGGGACGGATAGATATAAAATGTCATAAGTAAAAGCGAGATAGAAACAGCGTTAATCCTATTGGCTTATACTAGGCGACGTTTGCCGCGATTGGTCGCCGTGCTTTATTGAACTGTCACTGAAGACCGCGGTTAAGGGGTGAGATGTAATTCGGGGGCAAGGGGAGATAGGGGGAAGGGGGTTAGACGCTTTTGGCGATTGACTTGTGGGTAGTTTTTGGAGTTCCTTTGAGGATTGAAAGGGATTTTCCTGCTTTTATTTTTGTCTATTCTGTTAAAAGGGTAAAGTTTGTGTATTTTTTTGACTTCATTATTATATACGAATATTTCTAATTACTTTTAGTAAATGTTAAATATGTCTGCCCTTTTTCGTGTCTGCAAGATTAAATATAATGATTAATAGAAAATTTAAAAAAATTATGTGTCGGCAATAATTGTGTTCACCTAGATAGGTAGGCATTTAGGCATGTTTTCATTAATTGAATAAAATTTGAATCAAATAATAGGTATCTACATAATTAACCAAACTTACACGGGAAACTTAGGCTGGTATATATATAAAATATTAAGTTTTGGTAGGTTTACTATTGGATACACCTAATTATGGGTACTCTCTCAAAGCAAATGTCATTTCGTATATAAAGACATGATTGGTAGATGGGACACGGGAAAACTGTTGACTTTTCCTTTCTGGTGGCACGATTCGCGAGTGCCACGCCTTCGCGAATATTCCCTCTTGTCATTGGAGGGAGATCAGATATCAAGTTTTATATAAAATTCAAAACAATATATTTTATCTACGTCGAATACCTACAAAGCTCATATTATAAAAAAGCTTGTAAAATAGCGAAACAAAATGTAAACTTTAGTTTAATTACTTCTTTAATATATCTAACTGTTTATATCCTTTGATATTTCATTTTACAATTAATAGTGTTGGGTAGATTATGATTTAGAAACAGGATATACTAAATTTGTAAAGAATAAATCAATCTAGGTTTTAGAAATTTACTTATTTGCTAAAATCGATATTATAATTTAGTTCCTCTATATTTAATTTATACAAAATATATATAATAGATAGAAATGAAACAATATGTATTGAAAAAAATCAGCACAAATATTGTAAATAGGACGAGCTGTATGACCATTTAATTTCGTGCGCAGCGTCATTATTCTAAATGGCTGGCTGACGCAGCGCCGTAATGCCACAAATTAAAGCTTAAAACGGACGCTTAACAGCTGACCCAAAATCGAAGTCTCCCCCTATAGGGGGACATCAAAAGCAACGGGGCGGGGTTTCGCCCCGCCTTCGATGCCACGCGCGGAGATCGAGTCAAAAGTGCTCTGGCCGTAGCCACACTAGCAACGCGCTCGTCACCGAAAAAAATAAACGTCAAAAGTGACAGTTATTTTCCCGCGCTCGCGCCACTTTTAGCTGTCAAATTGAAAAATTAAAATAACAAAGACTCCACAGAATAGTCTTTATAATTTTTTACAATATCAATATATTTTTATTCAGTTTGACGGATTTTTTTTTACTTATGATACATACATTAAATTACAATAGCTGTAAGTTTACTTAATACATAATAATTAGTATGAAAAATAAATATGAATTTGTAAAGTTATAAAATACAAAGTGGTAAAGTGATCTGCAAATAATTAGGAGGGCTGTACAGAAGAAATGGAAGTGGCGCAAACCCCTCTGCAATTAACACAAGATCATCAAGAGGGACGAATGACAGGTAAAAAACGACCATTTCAAAAAATGTAAATATTTATTTATTATTATTGGTGGTTATATTTGAATATCGAATAACGAATTTTACTGATATAATATAGCGTAATGTAATTGTAATTTTAATGTTACGCGAAAAACCTAAAGCATTAAAGTAAATAAAATTAATTATCATTAAACGTATCAAATATATACTTTTTTTGACCAATGATTTGAACCTTTTTTTTTGTTATTTTAAGGTATTACGAAAGCAGACATTAACAAATATTTCATTTATGAAATACTTTTATAATAAGATCATTATAAAAGGTAGAATATATTTTTCATAAATTAAAATTCAGCGTTTTACACATACGTACATACACGTTTTACCAGTAGGTACTTTTTCTACTTAGGTTTGTATCTACATTCACTAATTCGAGCGACATTAGGAATAACATCCAATTGGATATTAATAATATAATTATGTAAAACAATATCAGAGGAAAACTTTCTATAGATAATCATATTGTGCGCTATTTGTTGAATTTAAAACATCATAGTCCTAATTATTTTAAATCTTCATTAAATTTAAATTTTCCTCGATCTTTCTTCAGTTCTTTTGTTTGTTTGAATGCTCAAGAAAATACGTTTATAAATGTGAAAATTTCAGGTCGTAGTTGTATTTGTTTATATTGAAAGTTCTAAGGTTCCGTCCATTTTCTTAATGCATTGCTTAATATGTTTCAGTGGTAATAGATTAAATGAAATAGTTAATAGAATTTTGAAGTTTAACCTCAATTCATCGTTGAAAGACCCGCTATTCGCTGCTCGTAAAAATCAGCAAATTCATTTTGTAGTATATCTCAATTTTTTTCTTGGGATAAAATATAGTCTATACTAAAATGTAAGTAAATAGTCACTAATCTTCTATACGCTACTGGAAGTCCCGTTAATATTAGTTCAGTCTAAATGTAAATGAAAAAGGTATAAACAGATATATACCTATATAAAATTCAGGTTTATTTCATTGGCAGTACCTATATTGTTTTTGTAGTCTGGTATGATATTAACTTGTTATGGTTCCTCTATTGTTACAGTGATCAATAGTTTTCGAATGTTTTTTTTAATTATTTTAGATCTTATTATTGAATTTCACTACCTCTATAATAAATAAATATTAACTTAATAAGTACATATACAATTGATACAATTTTGTAATTACGAATTAAATATATACCCAACTTATGTAAGTTACTTACAGATATGTATTTATATGTATGTAACTCAAAAATAATACCGAAAATATACATCATCTTTGAAATCTCTATCATCTAATCATAATCTTCGATATACCTACCAGTCGGTTATATAAAAAATCTTTTATAATTTACCTACTATACATTGAGGAATATTAGGTATAGATTATAAGTAGGTATATGTGTATCTAATAACAATGCTACGACCATATTCTTTACATTTAATATATATGTTACCGGCCAAACTAGATTACATACCTATACATCATATGAAAATAAATTACGTCAGAAGAGTTTTTTCAACATAATAAAATAATATTAGATGTCTTTTTCTATCATAACAAAGAAAACATTAAAACTGCTTTTTTCTAATATAATTTGATCGAATTATCTGTGATCAGACATTATAATACGTTATTGTTATTCAGTGCACGCGCGTCGGTATCTCGGGGTCTATTTGACTGATTTTCAGCCGCTCCATGATTTGCCACTTTACCCGGTCAGCGTCTGTTTTGAATACAAAGTAGGTGGGATTTCAATTTCATTTTCAAATAATGGATTCGTATTTTGAATAACGCTGTATTGAGCGTGTGTCAATGTGTTTTGTATATGTATGTATGGGAGTTTGTTATATTTTATCTTATAGATTTATTACTTCTTTATTGGAAGTAAAGTCGATCTATATATCACATATATTAATAAAACTTGTCTTACTTGGTTTTTGCTGCGCTTTTATACTTAGAAAAGATGTTAGTGTTTATAGCCCTAGTAACTCTCTTATTATATTAGTTCAGAATATGTATATCATAAAGATAAAAGAAATGCTAAGCAAAATAGCACATGATTTTATACGACTCTATAAAGGTCTGCTCTAACTTTTTCCAGTTAAATATTTTTGAAGTTATACCTCTTTTGGCACGCTTGGAAAAAATATGAGAGTAAAATTTTTACGATGCGCCCATCGACAGCCAAAAAGCGACATGATGAAGTTAGCTGCATTCTTTTTTACAAACAGAGAGTTGTGGTGCGGGATGAAATATTTAGCTATTTTTGTTCTATTACGCCAAAGAAGTATAACTTCTTTCGTGTGAACATAAGCACACACACACGTTTTTTTTAATTTAAGACTCCGAAAATGATTATGTTCTATACAAATGCAATTTTTACCCACTGAGTGGTTTAATTTTGAAAAACGCTGAAATACAGGTTTCTATATTTGTTGCAATTCGTTTATTGCACTCGTAGGTACATATATTCTTACAGTAATATTTTTTTGGGAAACTTACCCAAAAAATATTACTTTGGCAATAAACAAACATTATTAATATTTTAGCACTTTGGGTTTAGTCGTTCATAAAAATAAATCATAAGGGTTTTAACATGGAAAATAGTTACTAGTTATATTTTGTATTAGATTTATCAGACCCAAGAAAATGTAAGTACTTAAACGTTAATGAAAATTGATTTACAGAAACCTAAATAAAAGTACAAACTAAGTTATTCTTGTGAAACTAGGAGATTCAAAGAACAATAAAATATGATTTATCATATTATAAAAAAAAACTTATTACAATATATTAATAAGCGGGATATATTTAAAAAAATGTTAATTTTAAATTAGACGTTATTTCATACCAAAACTGATTAAAATATCAAATTCTTAAAAATCCATTGTTTTAAATACTTAAGAGTATAAATGTTACTGGTTAGATATAGTGAAGAGTAGGTACCTATATTTTTTTGTTAATTATTGATATTTTTAAAATATTTATCCGTAATATGAATGGTAGACTTAGAATTTTCTAGATTTGAAGGTATTATAAAAATAATTGGTATTGTTATATCACAGAAGACATAATAAAGATAAAATTTACTATTTAATTTAAATTAAAAATGTATTAAATCTTGGTGGGGACGCCTAAAAGAATTCTTAGGATGTTCGGGAAGGGAAGGAGCGAATTAATCAGGGCGGCTCAAGAGCTTCGCGTCAAAAGAAAACCGAATAAAACGGCAAGCGACAAAGTTTCCGTCTTCAGTTAGACTTAGAAAAACCTTGGAGTAGACTTCAAATATAAAATATTTAATTTTTTCAATTTTCGTTTATAAAGCGATCTCGTTTCTATAATAACGAGAATTTATCTAAAGTTCTATGTCTTTATAAAATACACATAATTATTTTGAGGAACTTGTGTTATTTTTTTGTTTTTTTATTATTCTGAGTTTCTTTCGCCAGTTCTTCTCAGGTCTGAGGCTTCTTCTTTCCGAACTGGTAGTAGACTCATGACGTTCAGTAAAAAATTGTAATAATTTAATGCTCAATAAAATATTTTGAATTTGAATTTGAATATTTAGTTACATTTTGTTATCAATATTTTTATATTTTTAAGTAAGGTATGACAGTAATTAAAAAAAATAACATTCATCTTCGAATATTTTAATACAGCAACACCCTATTATGCTTTTAGTTCAAATACTTGGATTTTACTATATAATAAAATAAAATTTATTTTCATTGATGTTACTAATTTATTTTTATAATATAGGTACGCTTACTAAAATATAAGCAAAATCATTATACATAATATGTGTAGATACAAAAAAGCTTTTATAAAATTTCGACTCCATATATCTCTGTTCCATAAGTGCCATACTCTGAACAAACATTGATTTATCTTGATACCCGGGATTCACTTCGCCCGCGACTTCCAATTTCCCAAACTGCTCTTTTTATGTGTCTCATACAATTTTCTTTTATGTCCCTTCTCGTTTATATAGCCTTCTTTATCTGCGCTATTCTGTCACAATTTTGTGCTTTATCTGTGAAAATAAATTGAAATAAAATAATACGTGATCATTATATCTTCAAAAGAGTGGATATTTTAAATCAGACTTTTAGCGAAAACATGAACTCATATTTTTAAAATTCGAAATTGATATTTTTTTATTCATGCTATCGAAAAATGCTTTCTATGAATGCCTTTGTAAATAATAATTAATTTATTTTTTTCATGTGCTACTTCTTACTAATTTCTTTTTAACGTCATTTGTTCATTTATACTTACTAGCGACTCACCCTCGCTCTCTTCGGGTTCGTCCCTAGTTACGTTTTAACGTTTAGTATAGTTTTCTCAGAGATGAGATATTTTCCCGCGGTAAAAAGTATCCTATATATTGACCCGGATAACCATCTATCATGATACAAAGTTTTATCAAAATCTCTCCAGTGATTTTATTTTGATGCGTTCCCAGACAGACAAAAATAAAAAACTAAACATTCAGCCTCTGGATCAATAATAATGACTATTTCAATAAGATTTTCCAAAAAATATTTAATATACCAACAGATTCGACTGAGAATCTTAAATCTTATTATATGTATAGATTAACTATGATTTTATGTAAAGGTATGAGTATATATGTACCCTACTTCAGGCAATAAGAAGTGTGTCTATCATTTCGTTATGGCCGATCCATATAAGCTAGGTAGATGATGGGTTACTATAATACAAACATGCGTTTAAAAAATACAGTTAATCTATTTGTACCCTGAAAACTCTTGAATGGCTGAATTAATTTTAGTATAGTGATATAATTTAACGTGAGTTATATTTATCCTGACAAGGTATTAAGCATACCTACTATACCAAATATAACAGAACTTTCTCTAGCGGGTAGAGAACAACATAGGGTATTTTTACGGTGTTGCATTATATGAAAGCAAGTATAATTCTACGTCAGCTATGTACCTTCTTACCTGTTTATAAAATAA